AATTATGGCCTTTGTAACCCGTTGATGGTGCATTTTATTCAGCTCTCAGACGCATATGTGTGATGTGTCATATTTCATAGGTCGCTTTGTACGGATACCGGCGCGTTTCAATGCTTTATTATAAAAGATTTAACATCAAATATAATATATATTCGTTAAATATCATGTTTGCTGTTTGCTTAATTATTGAATGAATTGTATCATCCAAAACTGATTTTATATATTTTTTACTAGTATTTTTGTATTCTTTTTTTACTCGATTTTTCTCTTGTATCAATTTAATCAGTTGTCAATCAAACAATGAAGAAACGTTAGGCAAACTTGTCTCCGGCAAGCTAGTATGATCCGCAGTCCGGTGCGGCATAAAGTGACCTAACCGCCGAAAAACCGATGCGTTTTACAGTCGACGCGGCCGGCGAGGTTTATTCCCGCAGCGCAATAGAATAGAGAATGTCGGGGATAGCGCTTTAAATTCTCCGGAGGCAGCACATCCTTCCGGAGAAACAGGTCGACAATAAAAATCCAGCGCGCCGAATGTAAAACCGGGCGGATTGTTAGAGCTCGAAAAGAGCACAGCTCGTTCTCCCTCCCTTTGCCCCGCTACATCGGTTCGCCCCTAAAAGCGAATTTACACTGTTCACTTCTGATAATCATCCCGGATGAATTATGTGCGAGCGAATTTAGATGCATCGTTCTAACGCAATGTTACGAATATTCTACTATATAATGCAACCTCGCAAACATCATTCAGACATTTCAAAATGAAGATGTATGAGACAGATTATAAAATCCGCAATTACTCGCATGTTAATATGTATAAATGATTTTGTTAACCATTGTATAACATAATACTCTACCTACATAAATCTTTCAACTCAGGTGCAAAGTAATACTTTTTTTCTACTTTTGAGTTATTTTGTGAAATGCTTCACACATTTTTTATCATATAATTTACTTATCACGTAACTTATTTAGAGATCGAAATCAGGCGATTAAATAATAAATGTATTTTTTTTCCACCGTATTTTTCTTGTCAAAATACGATCGTTTAAAATAATTTAAAATTGAACGAAAATAGAAGTCGAACTCTCTCAATTAGAGAATAAGAGAACTTATTTATTTCGTCACCAAGCATAAATAATTATTATTGCTATGACACGCATATTCAATTGAGAAAGCTCTCAAACTGTTCGAGATGTAACACAAAATTCAATTACCATTCAATTTACCATTTAGCACATCTACGATTGTCTCCACGCGATCATTGCTTGCGCAATCATTGTTTACGCGACCCATTTTCGCTTCTGATTTATCTGGTATGACAGTCGAAAGTGAATCGCATAGATTCGGCTTAAATTATCGTTCACCGCTTCCTAAATTTCCGTAACCGCTCTTTCGTAATGCACAGCCACCACCGCGACTTTTTGCCAGCAAATTTCGCGCGTGCAATATACGAAAGTATGAAAGTACAGCCCGGCAAAATTTCGCCGCCGGTGCCGCCGATACATTCGCTCTCTCGTAAAATCCAGCAAAATGAAACGAATGGATTTGCGACTTATCCGCGATGTATTGGTGCAGTTGACGTGCGTTTTTTCCCCCTCGATTTTCTCTTCAAAGTCTCGACTTGTGATAGCGTACGTTGCTCAGAATCAAGAGAGGTTTTCTTGTTACAAGCCGACAATTTTAATTAACAAATTTCATCTAACAAATATCACTCTTCTTCTGAATGGGGGAAGGAAATTCAGCGCTAACAGCATTTGTAGTCGACACGAATTACGCTTAATCGCGCAAGTAGAACAATCGTTGCGCCACATTAACGCGATTTCATCCACTAATCGTTACGGTTCTATTAGAAACAAACCTGCTAAGTCAATTTCGACGAATTGTGGATGCTGATCGAATTTAATCGCGCACATGTCACAACCGTAGCGTAGCATTTTACACAGACAAAACATCGTTGCGGATAAACAAGCTTACGTTTAATTGCGCACCTCCGTACGTACGTACATCTAATTGTAAGGCATAAATGCACAACTTTAATCGTATCATCCTCCTTATGCAACAGCGCAAAATCCTGCAAACGAGATACACGAGGAGGAATAACGGGCGGGAGAAAAGGGAGGAGGCGGGAGAGAAAAAAAAGAGATCCTCAAAGGGAATCCTCTTAACGAGCCGCACTCGCCCAGCTGGTTACGATAACGAGACGATTCCATATCTTGCTGCATTTCGGTGCATGACCGCTGCGCCTTTGCAACTAGAGTCTATAATGCCAAATGGCCGAGATTGCAGAAATTGCTCTTTAATTTCCAAAGATGTAAGCTCTTGAGGAGAAGAGAAATAGTTTTCATATTTTTTGTGCAGTAGAAAATATTATATAAAATTTTATTCTTATAATATTGTGTTAAAAGATCTAAACGGATCGTAATATGCACAGACACAAAGTTTGTGAATATCTTTAATAAATTTTTACGAAATAAGAGCTATCCAAGCAGATGCAGATGATAAAATATCGCGAAACAAAAGCGACAAGGGATATATTTTCTGGAGTCTTCGGAATATCTCCAGATAGCCAAATGTTAGCAGATTGACAGCAAATTTCATTAAATTTGATTGGCAATTTGATAAAATTTACTGTCAATCTGCCAACATTTCCAACATTTTGCTTGAGATCGTAATGAAATTGATAGCGTTCGATACAAATAGCGTGAAGACTAAACGCATGCACAAGGCGACTTATGATAAAGTGCACAAAGGAAGCGAATTAGTCGGTATCGCCCAAGGCGCCTAATTAACGCGCTGCATTACCGCCGCGCGCGTCCGCCTTGTTTCTCTCTCCGCCTTTGCCTAAAAACCGCGTGCCGGCACTCTTCCGGAGCCGGGAATCCCTTTGGCGTTGACGGGCGACGCCGGCGGAAGAAACGGAATACACCTGAGTCACGCGTGACTCTCAAAGCACGCACACGGACGAAACAAAGTGGCCGGTATTGTTAGAGAAAATTGCCTTTGCAATGTTCAGTAGCCCGTCCTTTCTTGCGCGTGGATGCGTACGTACCCTTCCGCATGACTTTTCGACGATGAGAATACTCGCGGGGGGGTCGCTCATTTTCGAGTTCTCAATTGCTTGTCGAGGACGGAGCGTTATCTGATGATGTTGACATTCAAGTGCGACCAAAGAGCCCTCCGGCAACGGAGGGTTTCTTTGCACGCGGCGAGGAGTTGGTCAAAGATCGTATTGTAGTGCCAAACAATCTATCTAACTGCAACGTTAATTATTTTTCTAGAGAATTAATGAAGAATTATATAAATTATTGTTATACGATAATGACATTAATCATCATTTACACAATATAACATTTTGAAATTTTGATCGTACATATATCTGTCTTAAAGAAAAAAAGGTTTGGATTTTAAAAGGCTAGTCGCAATGAAAAAAACAGATATTAATACAATATATCTCTGATCGTATTTTCCGCGGAATATCTCGAGATATCGAGAAATCTGTATCATATCCGTTCGACGTATCTTTGAATCAACTTGTACAATGCAGAGCCTTTGACATAAGTCGTTTCGCGAAGAAATGTCGGAGATAAAGGTTACTTCCGCCTGGGTGGAGCGCAAATATGTTACCCTCTCAGCGGCTCACGATACGTGGAAGAGAAAGGGCTTGGTTAACCGCCTTTAATCTAAAATGCTGGACGTTCAAAGAGCATTACGCGGCCGCCATCCACCGTGGCAGACGAGAGACCGAGGATCTCAAATGAAGCTTTTAAGGACCTTATTTCGAATTGATGCGCACGCGGATACGACTCATTCGACCACCCATTTACGTGAAACGAAGCACGAGCTCTACATGTCGCCAGTTCTTATACGGTAAATTGCCACTCTTGGTGACCTAGCAATAATTAACGTTTCGCGGTAACACACGCTCTTTCGTGGCAAACCGAGCGTAAAAAACAAGGACTATCTAGACAGGGCAAAATTCTTTATTAGATAAAAGTTCTTATTTTTTTTGTAGGGAAAAATAAATTCTTAATCTGAAAATTTACATAACAGCAAAGAAATTATAGAATATAAGTAAGTTATAAAATATGTAAGAATGTTTAAAATGTGCCTTCGCGATCACCGTACCGACATCTATGACATCGCAGTTTAAGCTGGTGTGGCGGGCTATGTTACCTCTGAAAGTGACACAAATTTTGCAAATTCGTTATTTCAAAAATTTAGACCTCTCAATTTTGCAATGATTGCATATTTGCATAAATAAATCAAGGAAGAACGTGCTATTCGCCTTAAATATTACAAGCACCGAGAATTTATTATGCTGTGCTATGTAATATTCTTTTTGTCGATAACATCTATTATATGTATTTCTTGATCTTTTATGGCTCTCAAAAATTTGCTACTAAATATTCTTGCTCCTAAACATTCAAAATGTGGAGACTCTAAAATTATTTGATTCGGGAAAAAGATAGAAAGTACATATTTTTATAATGACAGTATATTTTATTATTTTTATAATATAAATATGAGTATCATCTACGAAACATCTCAGAATTATTATCAATTTTTGGATTCTTTAAACATATTGAAATTAAATTTTTTTTCCAGCAAAAACTTGACACTAAACACTAAACACTATCATAATTTTCTAATTTTTAATATCAAACGACATAGTCATTAATAAGCTGTAAAAATAAATTTTGTTAAAATAAAATCCATTTGTAAGAAAATGGGCATATGAAATTGTATAACGATAATTCTGAGATACGTGATGTGTTCGGAGTATTCACGTTCAATATGGCGCACATAAAATGGTTTTCCATTCACACATACGTATGTATAAGGATATAAATTCTGGCAGAATTCGAACTCTATGCATATATATTTACAATTACTTAGGCACTTCATATCGATACGATATACGTATATACAACCTATCAATCCTTATATATACATAGCAATATAACAATGGGAATTAGAAATATTATTCATTAAAATCCATAAAATATATTAAGTACACAACAAGGAATGTTTAAAAATTATACGCGCTATACACTCGAGATTTTTATCGTTACATTATTATGAAAGATTAATATCGTGTACATCTGAATATCCAAGCGATGCAGAAAACAGTACAAGATTTTGTATAGTACATGTCGATATTTCACCGGAAAGATCCGAAACTTTGTACGTCTTTCTTCTCGCGACAATCATGATATGCACGAGTAGTCAGTGTTTACTAGGAATTGTACGAATTTCGATTATCAATTATTTGACAACGCATGATCTGCTGCGACAAACACGAAACTTTCCTGTGCTATCCGCCGTTAGACCCACTTGCCAACTTTTCGGGTAAACACTTGGTAATCGTCGGTTCGATCAATTTCCACACTTCAGCCAACTGTAAACAAACATTTGCATCAGCAATCTCTGTACGTTCGCAATTCCAGAGATTTATGTAAGTGCTCTGACACAGTAAAGACATTTCCCCATTTGAAACATATGTAACAGAAAGCGATAAAAAAATTATCGGAAATAAAAGAGACATATTTCTTCAATATTTCGATGACTCACCGAATTCTCTGCGTTTGTTTGCAAAAAAAGAAACAAGGATGTTTATTAATGACCGATTGTATAACGCTCGTTAATGAGAAAAAAAATTATATTTACCTCGGAATGTCCGCGAATTTGCACACTCACGAGACTCTGCAATACGGTGGCGAGTATTTCTAGATGTGCGTGTACAAGCTGGGTCTCCATGTGCAGGCAGAGCAGCGAGAAGCAATTTCTCAGCTCGACGTTGGCGATTACCGATTCCTGGGAGACCATCTTGTTCTCGAGGAACTCGACGGTGTCGGCCTATAAGATAAAAATCGCGTGCACTCTTCTCGAAATAAGTATGCGCCACGGTTCGCGCCGCGCGTTTCCGACTATGACGAATTGCGTAAGACCGCAGGAAGTTACGCTCGCTCCTCACAACGGCGACTCACAAGCGCGTTCAGATTATACTACCGTAAGTTGATGGCGAGTAATTATACAATTGCGACAACGCGATTGCCGGTGAAATAATACGCCAGAGTCACAGTTTACCTGCTAATGAATCTTAAATAGGTACGTACATCAGTTCCGCGAATAACGCCTTGCATCTGCCGCTTTTTGAGAGACAACATCGTGGACAGGGCGCGTTGATGATCGGCGCTGACGCCTCGCTCGTGTCTTTCGCATAACATTCTGTGTGCGACTAAAATATCGAGCAGGAGATTCAACCTTTCGCAAATCATAGTCTCTTCTCTGACCGCTTGTTGGAGTGCTCTGGTCGACAACAGGTTGAATTCTCTGAAATTTTCGGATCCGTTTATTATTTACGAAAAGCAACCGAAAGTTTAAATTAGTCAGAGATAGCGATATATTTTTAATTTAATAAGCGCTATTTTAGATAAATATTTAAAGTTAGATATTTCATTTCTCCGAACGTATTATAGCCACCACATGATCTATTAACGATAAAATTGTATCGTATCGTTCTATTTTACTCACTTGATTAATTTTTTATCTATTTACGCACAAATATATATAATCTCTTCTTATCATAAAATATTGAAAGGACAAATAGTTTTAATTTATCTTTCGCGATAAATAGATTTGTTCAGGTACAAAAATAAAAAATATAAGCAACAATTACATATTCTACGTCACATGTCGGTAACGTGAAATCTCAAGTACGTTCGATATCTAATTTTTGAAACGCAAAAGACAATTATACTCCGCATCACATGGCGATAACAACGCCTAATGAACTCTCAAGCCTATTCATTAATATCTGTTTAAATCTTACATTATATTTAACTTTCATTATAAAAAAAAAAACTCTTACTTCGAGATTACGTGGAAACCTTTCTTCATTTCTTGCCAAAGGCTAGAACCGCCGGTAACCCAGGAGCTAGTGCCGTGCTGTTCCGCGGCTAAAGTGCTTAGCTGATTGCCCAGCTCGGCCATGTCAACCGCGTAATTGTGCGACCTAATCGCCAGGCCATCGGCGATGTGCTTCAACCGCGAGACCCCAAAAAGTATCAGGCGAATCTGATCGCGACTATTAGCGAACTCGGTCAGCGTCTCGGGCGGCATCAGCTCCTTCGCTCGGGGCGACAATTCGGACGTGGCGAATTCGTCCGGCACGCGTCTAAACATCTCGCGGATCTTGTGCTGCGTCTCGTCACCGGTGAACGTGAAGAAGAACTGTACAATCGGATCCTCGCTCACCACAGGATGGCGAGCGATCAGCGTGAGAAACCGCAGGAGAGAACGCCGCCTCTCCTCGAGAAATTGCGAGTCAGCTGAGAAAAAAAAAGATAAAATAAGAAATGATTTTTTTCGAGAATATTTTTCATCCGTTATTAAGTACAATATGTATACACACAATTATTAATTATTATTTATAATCAATTATAATTACTTTTTGCGTCGCTTAATATTTATATTAAAGATTATATGTTTACCTCCTACAATTTTTTTCGGCGGTAACTTGGGTATCAATCTGTAGGGAAACCGAGCCAAGAGGAGGTCGTACAACGACACGAAGTCGTTGTAACGTCTGTAGACCACCGAATTGAACTTCTAAAAATACGAAATTAAGTACGTATGAGAACTCACGTTGTTGCGATGTAATCTTTACCGATAATTTAATTTCAATAACACAGCTCTATTATAACAATTTGCAATAATAGCATTAGGTACATTTTTGTCGTGCTTTTACGAACAAGAACGCAGACTCTCGTAATACCTTGCTGGCGACTTGATATTCCACGTGCTTCAGGAAAATACCCTTCTTCTCAGGAACAAGGTTGACCTCGATAGTGTCCAGATTACAGATGTCCGAGTACGTGTGATTCAGCTTGGCCGGATTGCCTCGGTGCAGCCTCTGCGCCAGAAGCGTCACTTCCGACAGATCGCCCAGAACGGGAACGGGTAATTCTGCGAATAACAAGATCCCTTCGAGCGAATTTTCCAACCTAACAGCTGTGCTAGCTGATTGTATTTAGCGGAGACGATAGTTGTGTAATTATTAACTAATACAACTTGATTAATATATGTGCATTAAGTTTAACGAATCAAACTCGAATACTTTTGATATTTTCTGGATTTTACGATCATACTTTTGTTAGATGATTTTGCGGAAGTTTTCATAAATTTTTAAAATCTAATATTATGTTTATAGTCATTTGTATAATGGAATTCGATAAAAGTGACTTAATTAAACAAAAATAATAAGAAAAAATATTTTCTGAAAATATTCTTATTATTTTTCGTAAAGATTTTAGTTTCTCTTAAAAAATTGTATCAGCTTAATATCTTAGTTTTTCTTTTTTAAAACATTGTAAATATTCTAGTTTGTTCAATTAATATCCCAGTCCTGTACACAAAAAGATATGATCGTCATAAAACAAACTGATAATCCAACAATTCCTCCGCTGAATGCTCTCGATATCGTCGAGTTAGATCCGCTTGTTTTACAGTGTTGTTTTACTACTTCGGCCAATAGAGAGATAAAAATAAAATTGCAGTAATGAATCCGACAATCATGCGAGAAAACAGGAGCGTTTCTTCGCGCAATTTTTGCCGGGGGTTTTTTTTTCACGTTCTATATGTTCTACTTTTCGCCGATTCTACTTCGAGACTTCAACAGCGGCACGCGAGATCTCGCGGCATTGTTATTTTTCTTCTACGCCGTGGCAAATAATTATCGTTGCCGCAACCTCGATACTGAAAGTCTTCTGACCCCGCGATACCTTGCTATATGCAGCGACGCTTATTACGTTCCCACAGCTTTACCATTCACGACTATCATAAGCCACGGCTATCATAAAGCCACTTTCATTCTTTACATTTATAATTCAACGTTCTATAATGAGAATGTTATGCGGCTTCAAAACAACACGAAAGTTTCCAAGTCATAAAGTCGGTTGTTTTCGCGTGCGCACCAAGTCATTAAATCTTATTATAAATCTTTCGTTAAATGGTACGTGAAAATGGCTCGAAAGATATGAATATCCCAATGAAAATAATCGTCAGTCATGTCAGTTTTTAAATGTATCTTTTTGCAAACAGAGAAGGAAGAGCACAACCAAGAGTTAATACGAAGTTTTAAATGTTGCAAAAATATATGAAATAATATGAACCAATTCGATGAATGAATGTACAGTATAAATACAAAACTCGTTTCTTTATTAACATTTAAGTAAAAAAACAATATACATATAGAAACATGTAGCTGTAATCAGCGCAACATTTTAACAGAAAGTTGCGGCGCATTTTCTTTGATAGTCGCAATAGCATGAAACTTTCTAACGATAAGCAAAAGGATAATGATTTTACTGGTCACTGACACCGGTAACGCCTACAGGTTTCTTGACATGCTGCTGAAGCACATTTAAGCATTATCTAAGCACCTGTCCGATAATAGATTTATTCAAGACCTACTTTCCGCATAATCTATATACGGATGATGTTAATAGCATGAAAGACTGTATATGGCTTGTCTCGTTTGCGAAACAAATTACTGAAGCTATAAAAAAAGATACCGTAAGAACTGCTGTAAAGATATTAAAGTAAGATTTACATAACAACGTAATTTTTATGATGCTTGGCGAAATGTTCAATTAGTTTTTTAATCAATTAGTACACGATTTTATTATTTGTATCGATACGCTACAACTGTTGTTCGAATCTCTTTTCAGTTAAAAATATATAAATCCGCAGTCATCAGGATTTATTTGATTGAAAAACATTTTTTGATAAAGATAGAATATTTTTTGGAATTCCAAAAATTACTTTTGGTTTTATTTTATATTAAAATATATATAAAAATATTCTAGAGAGAGAGAGAACTTTTTTTTATAGTATTGACAAAATAGTGCACTTATTAAATCAAAAATTTTTTTTTTAAATCTCGTACGTAATGTTTTATATAATAAATTATAAGAGTAATAATTTGAGGATAGTTTAAATCGACTAACCTTGAGATTCGGAGTTTTCCAGCAACTTGTCGCTGGGTTGCTTTCCTTGTTGGGCGAAAGCGATGAGAGCCAGACCCTTGTACATTCCGCTTCTCGTAAGATAACCTGTCTTGCTGTCTACTTGTTTCCATATCTAAAGAAGAATAGAGAAACTTTTAAAAGAGCGTTTTAAATGCTTACATTGCTTACATTGTGCTTACATTGTTTCACACATATTTTAGTCAAATTATTGATTTTATTTCTCAATATAGTCATAAAATAATTCTACTTCTAAACAAAACAATATATAAACTAATGCAATGAATGAATGTACAGTATGATGATAAATACAAAACTCGTTTCTTTATTAACATTCAAGTAAACGAACGAGCCACAGTTTCCTAAAGAATTGCGAACACTATGTGGCATTAAAAATGAGAGAAGTATCACCCGAGAAAGCGTTGGCGATCATAAATACAATGAACGTCACGTTCGAGTAACGGCATAACGGTAAACTCTGTGAACGAAGCCTAAGGATTAGGCCATAAATGAAAGTAACTGCATTCCGAGAATTTTTCTCTCTTGCCACTGCACTATGCCACCTCTGCTTCTATTCTCACTCGCGTCTTTCCTCCTAGATGCCCCATGTTGCTTCCCCCCCCCTTCTTCCTTATCTAAGTGCGACACCCTGACTCTCTTCTCCGCTTGTGCTATCATTCAAAGAAACCACAGGCTATAGTGAGTGCAGGACGCGAATGCATGCGGACTTGCCTCGAATGTAAAAGCGTATACAGAGGCGTAAAGGTGGGAAAAAAAAGCCTTCTTTAATTTAGAACTGCAAAAATGTACATTTATACAAAGGTCTAGATTTTATATTTCTAGAATCGTAAATTTTTGAGTAAGATTTTTTCGTAATAATAAATCTAATAAACGTAAGCGGCATAAATATCTATAGATATAACGCTCATGCTTTGAATGGGATGTGCATTCGTAGCAAAACAAGTTTGTACTAATGCTTCGCATGGGAAGAAAGATGCGAGTGTATAAAATGCAGTCACAAAAAGAACAAGCCTCCATCTACGCCATTGCGTGCATCCTTTCTCGTTGTTCTCTCGAGTGTCGTTAAACCTTAATCGCCGATCAAGTTCAAGCCGGGAATAAAGCACGACGACAATAGATTCCCCATTCTACGTGTGCAAACCGCGCGCAAGCAACGAATCTGCAAATGTCTCACGTCATGCAAGCACGTAGCAGTACATATTTTATTTGTCCCGAGAAACGTGATAGAATCCGTAAATAACGAGAAATAACGGAAAATCGAGATATCGACAGAAAGAGACGTAAACGAAGATGTTATATGGAAAAGTTACAAAAGAGAGAAAAAGGACAGCAAATCTACAGCGAAGAGATGGAAATAGAGGAGAAAAAACTGAAAAAAATCTTTTTTGTTTGACATATAATATACGAGTACGCAAAATATATGCAAACAGGTCGCAAACATGCGCGCAAACAAGTTTATGATGGAACAGAGGTGAAAGAGCGATATTATACTCGAGAGAGGTTCTTATCTCACGTGTGCGACGTTGTATTCGTATCTCAGAATGCACGAGACTATCGTTATTGCGATATGATAAGATTCAAGAGAAAAAGTAGTAGCGTGGATATTTTTATGTAATCAGAGCACATAACTTGTTACACACAAAAATCCGTATACATTTACGGACAATAAAATTTTGATGAATATATGATTACATTTTTCTGATTACAATTTTTTATATCTCCAAAAATATTGTTGGGAAAAAAACTGAGCGCTCTCTGAGACGTGGGAGTGCACTAACATTCGTGCCAATAAAGTTTGATGTAATCGCACAAATACAGAAGCGGGTATAATATCCGTGTAAGAACGCCCTGTGAACGAGCATCGCGTAACGAGAGCCGTGCACCCGTCGTCACGCAACATCTCTACGCGAGATAATTATGCGCGGGTACTGAATCGACCAACAACTTATCATCTCTCATTTGCGTACCTGAAGCATGTAATATGAGAAGACGATGCTCAAGCACCTCATCGCGACCCGCGTAATACGATACAAACGCAATCGAGAATCCATATATGTATTCGACATCTCATTTAAATGTTTATTTTTGCAAGACTGCTCTCGACGACGGAGGAAAAATAATAATTACATTCGATATTAATTGATACGTTGTAATTCATGCATTTATAGCTAATTATAAATTATAAATTATTTGAGAATATTTAATAACTGTGGAGAACGCGAGAAAAATGTTAATCAAAATAATGCAGTTTAAATAAAGGACACAAACGAAAGGCCTTTGTTTCGGCGATTCTAACGGAACACTTTTAAATATAAAAGTACTGTACATTGCGTGCCAATGCGGAAGACGGCAATCAAACGATTTCACCTAACAGGAAGACGACCCGCATATCGTACGTTAAAACTAACCAGCTGCTGCACTTGTTTTCAACGTCGAGAATGAATATTAAGAATGCTTGCGAAAGCGTCAGCGTATGCTAATCTATTGCATTTAATTGATGCAATAAAAAATTATACAGCTGTGGATTGAATTATTTCCATAACTGGAATAGAATGCTGTTTCATTATATTTTATTCACATTCCATGTATCAAAATCAGATAACAAAGAATCATAAAAACACACATTTTTTACACATTCTTCCTGTATTATTCTGAAATATTTTAACAATATTATTTAATGAGCAGCGAGTGTTAAAAAATTATATATGAAATACAGAATAATGAAAATAAATTAAAAATTATTAAATATATCTTATGTAGGATTTTTTACTTTACGTGTGTATATATCGAATAAAATAGAAAATAATATTCTTCGTGGTTTCCAAAATGTGACATATCATAATTCGTCATTCATACAATTAATAAATTTTTTATTGCTCATATATCCGAGAAAAAAAGAATTGAACCAAATAAAATCGTTGAACACAATGTGTATTGAGATAATCCATCGGAATAATTTACAGTATTTACAATCTTTTTATGCAAGTGCATAATGATATGTATCACTCTAAAGTGCCCTACTTAGTGACCCTCAATGTCTAGCGATAAACCATGACAGGGACGTATATCGCATTGAAATACATTAAGTTAAAGTCGAAGAAAAAGATCAAATACCACATTCTATTGTATAAGCATTTACTTGTTAAATATTTCGTGCATTCTGCAACAACGATAGTCTCAGAGCGATAATAAAATTTTATGGATAATACAGTCTACTAATATAAAAAAAGATATATTTTGATGTCTATTTTTTTGTAAATTCAGCAAATAAATATTGACACATGGATATAATTTATAAAAAAAACATAAAAATTTACTTTTCTATATATTTTGATCATCGTATCGGCATCCACGATTTTAATTTTCATAGTAAATTACTGTTTTGAAGACTTACGTTGCAAATCATGGAACTTCATAACTATGCAAGATTGCTATTCTACTTGCAACAACGAAATATGTACCTCGACGCGGCCCTGCGTGATGCTATTTTGATTGTGTTGTTAGTACAATGAATGAGAGACGGGCACGACGAACAATGTCGCGATACGACGTGACATTCCTGGTGTCGCAGAGTTGTAATGATTTTCCTCTCAAACTTTCGCAAAATAAGTTCTGAATTCGTGTTATAAATTTTCTCGGAACTGCTGGATATCTAAATTAGTACAAATTAATATTTTGTAGAATATCTCTATCTCATGAAAATTTAATTCAATGAAATGTTACGCAGTCTATCTAGAAATGTAAATACATAATATAAGCTGCAAAAATATGTTTATCAAAATCGTAATATTTTTGCATATTTTAAAATAAATTATATTAAAAATATTTAAATTAAAACCTTTGCTAAAATTGCTAAAATTTATAACACTGTTAATTAAAAATTAAACACTTCCCGATTAAATATTTTGCTTACGAAAAATCCAAATCTTTTTATCGGTCTTCCAAATTTATCCACAAATCTGTTATTAATAACTAATACGATAGAAATTGAACGTCTCATATTTTTATTTCGCGCAAAGTTAATATTTTTTCAAAGGCATTTAAAATGTCATTCGCGCGATAACTTCTAAGACCTAGGAATTCTATACACATATAAATATATAATCTGTAAATGTCATATAAAATCTGTGTTTATCAATTCTGCATAAACGGACAAATAAAAAGCGACTAGACACTTCGAATATACATTGGAACGTGTTTATGACGTTGTGCGGACTGTATACGACGGTAAGATTGACCCTGCCACGTAATCTTGCACCATTATGAAGGGGCGTCCATGCGCGCTATCATTGACGGGCGTGTTGTTAAAGATGATAAAGCTCCGCCGATACGGCGCTCACAGAGTATTTTAATCGCTTTTTAGGAAGATATTGCCGTACGCATTGCGCCGTATAATTGGCGCCGATAGCGATTCTCGCATAACTGAGTCGTGAATAAATTGACTCGTCCGAGGGAACAGGATAAAACATCTCGAACTGCTAATGTTCACGCTGCAATATAATGATGCGGATGCACCGATGCAATAAGTTTCCGCCGTCGACATGTGATTATGTGATAAGAGAATTAAAAAATAACCGCGTGAGAAATATTTTTTTCAATCGTATATTTTCACGCGGACAAATATAAATAAATATGAACGAAGATAAGTAAATAAAATTGAATAAAAATGTGTACTGTTGAATATATATATTCACATAAATATGATAATATATTCACATTTTAAATGCAGGCGAATCATAAGACGTCTCGAATGCGAACTTGACACGTTGCATATTAATATGGACGGATATATATTGAAATGACTAGAGCCGCAAATAACGATAATGTTACATGAGACGGAATACGAGTAATGAATAATTGCGTAAAAAACTAAATTAACTTATTTGAATTTCTAATAACGCGTTCAGATATGTGTCATATATCCCGGATCCGATAAATATTACTAAACGGGCGTTAGATAAGAAAATATCACTAACACCAATAATACTGGGGAACGGCGCATCATTAATCTTGTAACTGACACACATGGCCATGGAGACGTTCCTTGAAAGAATAAACGACGCGTTAAGCGACCAAAATGCATACGCGTGTTGCACGACATCATTAGCATGAAAAGCACTTTGTTTTGTAGATCTGGAAAATTATACTGTCAGTCACGTTGGAATCCACATGTTTTTAAATACGATGATTTTATCCGTGATCTAAATTGCAAAGATCCTAAATGCGTTAACAGGATTATGAAAAGCATTACCATATGTAAAAACTTTCGAATTGTTTCTTTCCAGACTCGATAATATTTCGTGCGAATGTCTTCACTCCTGACGTCATACTCAAAGCTGACGCAAACACTTAATGTCGACTCTCAATGCATACCAAATGACATTTTGCGATTTTGTGATTCACTTATCTTGTCTTCATGCATGTTGGCTTATTACAGTCGCGGAAATGAGTTGTGAAGCATACATTTGATCAAATTGACTCATCAGTTTGAGATAGAAAGTTGAGTAAATTAGCAGATTAAATGAATTTTCGCGTACATTGCACATAGTAAATTTACAGTGAAAATATGATGAAGCCGTGAAAGGAAATCTTTAAGAAACGAAAATGAATAATATAATAATTAATTTACAATAAAATTGGCTATCTCAATACTTTTAATATATTAACAAATTAAGATAAAATCACTATACAAATCGAATGATTGACATTCGTACTTTATAACTAAATGCAGAATACTTTTTTTATGTTTATAATAAAAGCAGTTTATTAATTGTCAGTAGACTTTTCAGAAAAAAAACGTATAAAGAATAAATTTTTCAGTACGGTGTATTTCTTGGAATATGAGATGACACCTATGCGATCACAATAGTTTAGGAAGATAAGTAGGTTTCTCTTGGGAAAGGTCGTGCACTGGAAGCTGAAACGCGAGTAAGTCTGCCACGTTCAAACTCGCTATCGGATTTACTCTAATGCGTAATATATTTCTTTGTAACAATTCAACGGTATTCTTTCATTTTACTTTTGAACAGATTTATGAGGCGGAAAGATAAATAATTTCTTTATCGTAATCGACAAAGATATATTATTTATAATCACCTATAATTTATAATTTAGAGTTTATGTATAAATTATATATTTAGTAATATATATATTATAAAATTACTATAAAATTATAATATAATAAAATATGAATTATTAAATACTATGAGCAAAACAGGAAATCATTATTCGAATCGAATTCGGATTTCTTTCAGATTTCTTCATTGATGTTACAAAAAAACTTTTCATTCTCAACTATACATATTAAAAATAATTTTTCTATAAAAAATAAATAAAATAATAACGACAAACAAAATATAATTAAATATAAGTACAATAAACAGTAAATTGAGAGACGAGACTATAATACAGGATTGAGATTAAATACCGTGAATCGAGAATCGAGATCACATACCTGATTAACTGCAGAACCGCTTAGTTGAGACTTGACGAGCAGAGATCTGAACACCTCAAGCTTCACGTTTCCGCTGGTGGGCGAGCAAATCTTCTCGTAGACTTCTCTGTAGAATGCCGGTATGGAGCCTGGGATTCGTGCAGGAGAAAAACATAAGAGACAGATCCCCGACAGTTTCGCTCGTTTGTTCGCAACAGTTAACGAGGCCTTCGAGAGCGGCGTTCGTCCGTTCGCTCTATCTGTGACCGCTCTCGTCGGTCGCGCGTGACGAAACGTGGAGTACGTACAACCGATACATCCGTATCGGTCGGTCGTCTCGCAAATGAACGCGCTTTTGTTAAAAGGAACTTAAGTGACTTTCTCCGCGTTTCTTATGCGGAACTACGCGGAAATCTACTGTACCAGATTGCTTTAAACGTTCTGATATCATCATTTCTTATTATTTCAGATTTATGTTGCACATTATTAAGATTTATACGATCAATATATATATTTAAAACTTTTTACAAGATTGCGCGTTGGGTTTTAAAAGCATATTCTTCTGGTTATGAATCAATATACCTAGTAAGCCAAATGTTAGCAGTATTGGCAGATTTTTTACAGCGAATTTCACCAAAACCTATCAACATTATGAACATTTGGCTTACTGGATAATTGTAGAATTATTTGATTTTTAAAATTGAATGATTTTAATAAATTCAACTTCGAATATTCGAACAAATCAAATATTATCCAATTATTATGGTTACATTTTGACATAATCTTTATTCGTTAATGCTTTCGATGTCGAAAATCCATATATTATATAAATATATATGAAAAAAATGGTGTCCAAACAAATTCCTATAAAAGTGAAGTTACGAAACACGTGGTATATTATTATCTGACATTAGCATAGGTATGCTAAAGTGTCTTAACTTCCTTTTAACACCAATATGTTCGGTAATGTGCCGATCATATGTGCGACTTAACCGATTCACGTTCAAGCAACACGTGCGTTTTGTTGAAATCTAACACATTGATTCTAAACGGTAAATTTTTTCTGGGCAAATTATTAGCGGCATGAGAATCACGATAAGACCAGACACACGCATTGTTACCGTTATCACCATTGTATACCGGCCTCGCATATGTGATTACATCGCGGATGTCAAAACGCTCCTAAAGATCAGCTGATTACCGACGCGGGCGCGAACGCATCCTTAACACGCAATCCTAGGAATAAAAAGAAACGTTATATCCCGTAACAAAACTCGTTCTCGACGAACGGAAGGGAAACGAGAGACGCGTGCGCTCGATCTCCGTCCCATACGTTGATCAGACTGATAAGGAGATCGAGACATCTAGCGCGGTCGCGTTTTCAAGCGATAAGATTTGCGTCATCGGAAACGCGACGATGTTCTTGACGGAAAACCGGTTGACCTCGCGCGAGGACCTTGTCACGGACTGTTACGGGGCTGAGCAGGCTCATCATTTACCGAACGACAGATCGGTCGACGCCATGTTGGATCATCCGTGGATCATCCGTAGATCATCCGGTGCAGGACCGGTGCGGTGAAGGGTCGATCGTCGACGGCGGCACTCTTTGAGGTTAGAGTCCTGTTCCGGTTGCGCGCGCGTGAACCACTTCGAAACGCGGTCGGGTCGCGCGCACTCGCGAGAAAACAACGTTAGGACACGTCAACTGACGACGTTACACATAGAAAAAAACCACTCACACAACTTCCACCATCGCCGTACGGCGCAAGACTGACTGACTGACTCTAACCACGAAGCTGACGGAGTGCTGCAAGAGACCGCGCGCGATTGCGGCGTCCCGGCGCGGAACTCGTTTGAAGCGGTCGAAGCGTGGTGCGACGCGGTGCTTACGATCTGTGAGAATTATTGTGAACTACATATAGATTGTATATTTTTTTAACGAAAGTTTTATCTCTAATTATATTTGGAATAGTGATTTCGTAAATTATTCATTAGTATTTTTATGCTAGATTGATTAATTTTTTAAGTGTTAAATTAAATACAAACTACGTTTATAATCTGCGCTTTAAATAAAATAAATCTTTAATTTTCTTTGCAAAATCAAATTATATACAAATATGTTTAATTATATCAATAATTTATATGTTGTACAATTTAAAATAATTGTAACATATTATTTGTGACATCTCTTTATATTTTATATTCGTCGAAATTTATTTGATGTTTATCACAATCGATTGAAAGTGTTAAAAATGCAGTTATCTATATTTGACACGTTTGTTCTATTTGGCATAATCTTTTCATGCAATGTATTACGTCTAAAAATCGGTAAGATTTATGGAAATCAGTTTTCCTCCAGTTCTCCCAGCGGAAACGGTTTCGGCGACGGTCTTTCGTACTTGAATTCACGAATCTCCTTTCGCACTTCATCA